AGACCTTCAGCACCTGTCCACCGGAGCCTACCTCATAGGCGCCGTACGCTTAGATTGAGCACCTCTTGCGAAGCGCGCCGCATCCCGACAAAGAGTCGTTGCAGGCGCTAGCAGTTAATTCAAGTGCAATCATGTTTTCTCGAGTGTTCACCACTGTGCTGCACATGCATTTCTGCGGTTTGTGAGCTTTCTTTCTCGGGCAGCGCTTATGTTCCCTACAAGGCCGCCTGATGTTGCACCTGAGTTATGGCAGCTAGAACTGCCGAGCATACTTGGGCTTGCACATCCGGATTGTCACGACGACGATGATGATGATGACGATGAGCCATTGATTCCCAGGAGTCCTCTTCAGGCACAGTCGCGAACTGTTGAGCTGGTGTCGATCTTCGATGCCATACCGTATGATTCAACGCATTGCAGCTCACTTCGAAATCAGGTGATTAAATCCTTCACTGCTGGCATGTGCACCATGGGCCGGTCCAGTGTACGACTTAACACCATTCATCATCCTGACTTCGTGCGACTGGTTTGTGCCATGATCCGTGATGTATGGCCGGAGCATTACTTCACCAGTTTTACAGTTGTGGAGGGCTCCACTTGCAGCTGGCATCGTGACCGGAACAACGCATCTGGATTGAATTTGGTCATTCCTCTCACTTTCTTCCGACAAGGTGCGCTGTATATAGAATCTCCTGAAGCTCCATGGGTCACCATTGCTGGGGAGACTCGAAGAGCTACCAGGGCTGATTTCACTATGGGGCCCATTGCATTTGATGCTCACAATCTCTCGCATTGTGCCGAAGTTTCCGAGGATCGTCGCATTGTTTGCATTGCCTACTGCTTGCGAGGAATCCAACGTTTGAGCGCAGAGCACTACAGCTTTCTGTGTGACATGGGATTCAATGCTCCACTTCTTGACTTGAGGCCAGGGGACATTTCTGAAACCATCGTTACCGATGGCTTTCCTGACCTGCGCTACGCTTGAGTATACACTGTCTCTCATGAGTTGGTGTACCGTGAGAATTTCGCAATCTAGCCGCAGATATGCCCTACGACTCATTGCGAGCTTCGGTTAGCAGTCCTCGCTGGACGCAGGAGGCTGCTATTGGTGTCGGGCACTGCTACGGCCACCGTTGCTTGCATCGTTGCAGTTGGGACGCCGATTGTAACACGAATGACGGGGGCATTACTTCACCATGTTTTCCGTAGCACACGTTCTTTTCTAGTTGTGATCATCGCTGTTCTTCGGGACGAATGATCTTACGTACTGCTGAATGCCAGCAGTCTGTGCTTTGGTCTACGGACCGGCAGACACGGATGCATAGCAGCTGCTCGCAGCCGGGCACTCAAAGTGCCTGTCCAAGTGTCGCCCCGCAAAGAGTTAGCTTTGTGCCGAGTTTGTACGACAGCTCCGCCGTCTGACTCTGCGTTCGGAAAGGAAAAAGTGTGATTTATTTTGCAAGCCACTTTGGCTGAAATCTGCCTTTATGATTTCGGCCCTTTTATTCAATTGTTTTCTTTTCGAGAAAGTTTTTCCTTTGTCGATTTGCAGGCCGCGCGTTCGGTTTTTCACTGGTTGTGAAATCTTGGCTCCCACGCCGGCCGGCTTAGACCTGGTACCAGGTCGTAGAAATTTCTGAAGTCCCGCCCGCCCGAATCCCTGAAATTTCGTCTGTGGGGGATCAGTCGTTGCGGTTCGCATCGGCTGTGCATCCGACAAAGGTTGGATGCCCCATGGGCCATCGCACGCATCTCCTCGAGACGAGGTCAAAACATCGTGTCTCTGTCTGTTCGCAGCTTGCTTATACTCCTTGATAATTTCGCAACGTATATTGGAGTCAGATTTTGGACATAATCCATTTTTATCTTGCCAATCTATATTGGTGGATTGATTCAATTTGAGGGACATATGTCCCTGGGTGGGATTGGTGGGCTGGCTTGCTGGGAATCACGGATCAGTTACCATATGCAGTTCATGATGGGGCGGGTCGTCATTCGCATGCTGATTGGAGCGCTCCCCACACGCCAGATCTGTTGCGTAACTTGCGCTCTTTCTTGCTTAAGGCCACTGCATCCATGAACGGCCCCTCCCGCCTGCTTCAGCGTCGCTATGAGCCCAGCAAAGAACCGCTTTTCTCAGCTTCAGAGGTTGCTTCGGTTAGGGCAGGGTTCTTCTCGGCATTAGGCGTTGCGGCTCCGGCCGATGCTTGGTCACAGCGGGAACATCAGCCTCTCTGTTTGAATGCCTTGGAAGCTGTTGCTCAAACATGCCGCGACGCTGATACAACTTTGTTCCCAGCTTTGAAAGCAGGCGTTCCAACAGGCTTCCAGTCGGATATCCCGCCTTCACACAATTTTTGGCCTAACACTCGTGAATCTTTAGATGACATACCACTTTCGATTCACTTGCAGAATTGGCGCTCCGCTACCGTGGATCCTTCTGTTACTCGCAGACTGCTTCAAGAAGAACTCGATCAAGGTTTTTGCTTCAAATTCAACGGATCGTTGGCCGATGCCCAGCGACGCTGGCCCCTAGGGGTTGCGCTTGGCAAACTTTCGGTTGTTAGGGCTCCTGGTAGATCTGAAAGGCTTTGTCTTGATAATTCGGTTTGTGGCACAAACGCGAATTGCACCGTGCCTGAGAAGCAGCACATGCCTTCAGCTCGCGATGTCTTGCATTCCTATCCCCTGCGTGAATGCTCGCAGATTCAGGGTGCACTTTCGATTGACATCAAAAGTGCTCATAAGCGCTGCGTTGTCAAGGATGCGGAACAAGGACTGCTTGGGTTCACATGTGAGGAACCAGACGGGTCAAATGCCCTCTATTTCTATCGCACATGCCCATTTGGAGCCACGTTTGCCCAGCACTGGTGGGGGCGCCTCGGCTCATGCATCCTTCGCATTCTGCATATTCTCATCTACATAGCCCACACAGGCCATCTGTTTGTAGACGACTATCTCTTTTCTCAGGCGATGTCCATTCTCCCAGCAACAAGTGCCATGATTTGCATCTTCATGCACTTCATGGGTGTGCCTCTTTCCTGGCACAAACTGCAGATTTCTGTTCGGGTCACTTGGATAGGTTGGGACTTTCAGTACTCTGCCGGTATTGCGTTGCTTAAAGAATCAAAACGCTTGAAACTGCTGGGCATGGTGCAAGATTTGCGTAAAAACCCTCGCTTGACGAAAAAGGACTTGGAACGCTTCATTGGCCTAGCGCTGTGGGCTACAAGCCTTTTTCCGGTCATGAAGAGCATGCTGCATACTTTTTATCACGATCTCTACAGCCCAGCTGCTACGAACTACAGCATTCCACCAGAGCGCTGGCATGAAATCGCTAGATACTTGTCGCCGGATCTGCTTTTCACAGTCACGCCGCCAGGTACGGGGATACCTCCCGGCTCCAAACTGCTTTCGGCACGTCACCAAGCCTTGCACTCCCTTCAGGATCTTGAGACAGTTCGGGTTTCTGAGCGTAGGCTTTGGCTTCGGGTTTCTAGTCAGAACAGCAAGAAGCGAAAATTGTGCTTGAACTCGCTGCGCATTCTTGGCATATTCGAGCATTGGCTGTTGCATATGTCACCGTTTCGCTCGATGCGGCAGCCTGCCACGCCTCTATTTGATGCACGTGCAGATGCCAGTGCCAAAGGCTCTCATTGCTGCATAGGTGGCTACGTGCGCCACCCCTCTTTAGGTCATCGCTGGTTTCAACAAACCTTTGCTCACGCTGATTTCCTAGCTTTGGGCATTGGGGTTCAAGCTGATATGGCAAGGGAGATTTCGTGTTATGAAGCTCTCGCACAGGCAGCGCTGATATGGGCGGCATCTGCCTTGCTTCCATGCAGTTGCATCCCGATCACACTCAGAGCTCTTTCAGATAACACGGGTGCGGAATCAGGTGTTAATGACTCCTTGACAACCAGTCAGCCCTTGTGCTTTTTCTTGGAGCGAATCTCACTTCTTGCAGCGGTGCATCGTGTCACCCCTGACGTATCGCACATACCGGGTGAAGCAAATGATAAAGCAGATGCTCTGTCTAGACCGCACGAGCATCCATTGCCTCACGATTGTTTGCAGCATGAGCGCATTTCAGCTACGCTTCAGGATCTTTGGCTACCGCGGCCAATGATCAGTGTCTCACCTTCGTCTGTGCAGCTTCCGTGGCAAATTCGTTCTCATGGAGTGCCCACCAACCTCACATAAATTCGGGGTGTTTTTCTTAGCGAGGTTGCTGGGTAGTTCTAAATTGGTGCGGTTGGACCACCCATCAACCTCTAATGCTTGCTGGACTTGCTGCCCGGACTTCGTGGGCATACGGCACTCCATGAAAAAGCTTCCGCTTAGTCGAGTTTAATCCCTTCGGGATACACGCCTAGCCAGCACAACTAAAGTAGTAGAACGGTTAGTGTACTTGTTCACATCTGTTTTACTACTTTATGTTCGTGCGAACATTTGGCTCAGTTGTGCTGGCTAGGCATCTTTCTTGAAAATCCTCACCCTCCCGCCCATTTCACACTTTTCGGTCTCACCGGCATTGGCTACAAGAACGCTTCAAGATCCCCGTAACAAGAAAGTCAAAAGTTCCGGCTTCGGGGCAGCCGTATGCTTCACCGTGCGTCTCACACCAGCCTGAAATCCCAACCGTTTTAGCCCTCAGGCCCTCTCCTGTCACGCTCTAAGTATGCTGCTTTCTTCGGGCTGGTCTCAGGGCTTCATCGCCCAGCTTCCGTACATGACAGCTAAAACGCTGCAGCTTTTTTGCATGCTCTGTACGCCACACACAGATGCAAATGCTTAAGTGGTCGTTGCATCGATACTTTCCGCTTCCTCTGTTCGCTTTTGTGCTATGCATATGCATCGCTTTACTTTCGTTGATGGTGCGGTTGGACCACCCATCAACCTCTAATGCTTGCTGGACTTGCTGCCCGGACTTCGTGGGCATACGGCACTCCATGAAAAAGCTTCCGCTTAGTCGAGTTTAATCCCTTCGGGATACACGCCTAGCCAGCACAACTAAAGTAGTAGAACTCCTTAATGGCACCCCTGAGGGCAGCAGGGTCCAAGCCACCCTGAGTGGCTTTCCTCAGCATGCGAAGGATTTTGCACAAGGTGAAGAATCCGTGACAGCAACTCTTCAGGGAGTCGTCAGCATCCCTCCAGACGAAGAGGATAAGGAACAACTGCAGGACCGGCAGGAAATTAAGGAGCTCGGAGGCTTCTGCTTTCACCGGGGCAGTCTTGTCCTCTCGCTTTTTGGCGAGAACTGACTTGGCATCCGCACCAGCGAATTGCACCGGCCAATGGAAGGATTGCACGAAGTCGTGTATCTGTTGCTCGGGAAAGCCACTGTCTCGGAGGCGGCCTAGCAACACCCCAACCTCGTTACCGGCCACACCGTGGACCAAGTAAATGTGGAACCAATCGAACATGATCATCTCCGGAATGTTGTGTCCTACATTCGACATCAAGAGGCCTCCCGGCATGTAGTTGTAGCCCAAAGCTTTTTCCATTGTTTGGAAGTCCTTCTGGGAAACCGTGCCATGTTGGGAAGAGAGGTACCTCATGATTTCACCGACCGACCGGTTCGTGTGCAAGCGAAACTTCGTGAAGTCAGTGCATGTCGACGAGAGAACATCGCCATGGTCCTGTAGCCCGCTTCGGTGGGCAACGACATTCGCACATCTCATACAAAACACTGTGCCCGAGGCACCTTTGCTTTCAGCTGTTTGTTTCAGGGCTGCCTCGTCCGCTATAAGAACAGAGAGGTCGGCAAAGACGGGAAATGCTGTGGTGGATGTCTGCAGCACCACACCATGCCTCATGTCATGATCCATGAACATGTGCTGGATGGCATGTTTCCAAAGCACAGTGAGGCCGCCGATCCGATTGCAAAGAGTGCTTCTCAGTATACACAAAGGGAACCAAAGCCACTCCGAGGCCAGATCTTGCCCGTGCTGGACGATGGACCAGTAGATGACTTGTAGTTTCCTGGCATTCAGCGGTTTTAGCTGATTGCCGGGACTAACTTCATCAGCATATATAGCGATGCCCAGCTTGTCTCCAGGGCTGGACTGGCCACACTTTTTGAGCAGTCCATGGTAATGCTCGTTGGCGATGCAGTGCTGCAGCAGCACAACAGGTGGCACGAAGGGAACCCTTACAAATTTCGTGTCATCGCTCTCATGTGGGATGTCCATGTTAATGATCATCTGCCCAAAGGCATTCTCCCACGACTTCTCTTCACCATCCCTCGCTCGCTTAATCGAGGCTCGCGAGGTGGTAGCAAAATCGTCGGCGAGGAAACCGGTCTTCTTCAAATCGCTGAGCACGGATTCCAGACCTCGTTGTGATACAAACACCTTCCTCCCCAGGCTTGCCAAAGGTTTGGAGCTGGAGCTGGATGTCATGATTCGGGCAATGCCCAAGCTTTGCAGGAATTGGTCCTGGCCACGAGCCAAGGGCCCTGCAGCACGGACTCTTTTAGTGTAGCTTTGTTGGCGATTTTCCATGCATGGATGAACTGTCACACACATGTAAAGTTTGCAGCACAATACTCCGAATATATTATGATCGAACCCCAAGAACCTTCAGCTTTAAAACACCAACAGACTACACAATACATTTCATATATGTATACATTATATGATATACAGACCCACTATATGTATAGTTTAAACTCTATATATAAATATGTACCAATCGGAAACCCCGAACCTGTATATAGGCTCTGAGATATACACTATGAACCCTTTCACGACACACATCCTCTATAACACTGCACAGGAGCTCCAGCTTCCATTCCATGTCACATGTCAGGGCACACATGCATCGGCCACATTTTGAGATGCTCTTGCTGCAGCCCGTGTGCAGCCGGACTTCATAATGCATGAGTGAGAGTGCCTGAGACACGATGTGAATCAGGAGTCTCTACTTCAAAAAGCAACTAGGGCAGCAGCCTCGCTTCCATCGGCACTTTGCACATCCTGATGGCCTCATTCGAACTCGTTCATCCCAATCCGGAACCTTCTTGGCACCCTTGGACTTGGGGGCAGCCTTGGCCTTGGTCTTCGCCTTCGCCTTAGCCTTAACCATCGGCTTCGTCGTCGCCTTGGCTTTGGCTTTGGCTTTCGCCTTGCACATGCCCTTCGCCTTTGCCTTGGCTTTGCTCTTTGGCTTTGCCTTGCCCTTCGCCTCGGCCTTCTCGCTGCCACCCTCCGGATCACCAGCCTTGCCATCCTCGGCTTTCTTCTTGTTCTCCTCTTGACGATTCTTCCAGCTGGAGAGCATGGTGTTCACCTGCTCTTCCGGAGTCATAGGCGGCTGAGCTTGCTCCGGCTCTGCACGTGCTGGACTCGATGCTGCATCGGGTCCATTCGTGATTGCGAGGGTTTGCTTCGGCGGGTTCGTCTTGGTGTTGTTGCATCACTTCACGCGTGCGTGTCGATGTTTTATAGATCCTAGGTCAAACGAAATTTTGTAAGCAACAAAATTTTGGGCCATGACAATCTTTGCGCTACTCTTAGTAGTGCTTCACAATCCTGACTTTTAACAACTTTCAATGCTGTTGCATGATTTCGTTTCTCGTGTCGAGTAACGATTTTTAAACCATGCGGTTAAACGGACACTTGGTCATGATTGAATCTGCAATCATCGAGGCTGTCTCGAGATCGAGCCAGAATTTTTGATGGGACTCCGCTAGGGGCTTGTAACGGCGTCCTAGCAGGTTCCAGGCCCTTTATCTCAAGGCTTTAGGGCGTCACGACTCCCCGCCCTGGTGCGGGGTGTCAGATGGACTTCGGCGACGCGCTCGCCGCAGGTTCGTCCCATCGCTCCGAGCCAAGTTCTGAGAGCACACAGGAGATTTTGAGTCAGCATATCTACGAGCTCCAGCTGGAGGTTAACGAACTCAGGCCTCAGGTGCAAGCTCTCAGGTCCCAGGTGCAAGCACTGGAAGAGAGCCTCTCTCGCGTCTGGGTGAACCAGACGGGCCATCATCAGCGCCTGTCGTGGCTTGAGGGTCTCATTCAGAGCCTGCGCTCTGCCTTCAGGTCGTTTCTCGAGCCGCCTTTGCAGTCTGCTTGAGGGAGCCGTAGTGAAATGGGGGACGAAGGAGGCTCCCTTGCTTCCAGTTTTGGCCTTCACCTCAGATCCTGCCTGCGGGACTCCAAGTCAGTGTGGAAGACTCCCTGGGGTAATACGCTGTTAGCCCACGACCCTAGGCCCCGCTTGCCGCCTCCTCTTGGACCTCTCCCCCTTGTAGTCCCAATGAACCCTTCTGCCGATCAGCCTGCCGTGCCGAACCCTCGCTTCGTCAGGTCGGAAGGGCTTGAGCAAGTGTGTGCTAAAATGGCCAAGTTCAAACATACTTCTTGGGAGGTTATGATCAATGAGGAGAGAAATCTTGCCGTGAATAAGTGGCTCAGCCTTGTCATGGTCGAGCCCTTGACCTTCGGTGTAGCTAGGAACTTCTACGCCGGCAAAGCGTCAGGGATCTCTTCAGGATCGCTTGCAGACAGCATTTCGGATTGCCTTGCTGCCAAGGCTACTTCGACGATCAATGCCAGGGCGAATTGCTTGTTGCGGTTTGTTTCTTGGGCATTAAAGGGGAACATGCCGTTTGTTTTTCCCTTGACCGAGCATGCTGTCTACGCATACTTCGAGGAGAAGAAATCCACAGCAGCGGCAACTTCGTTCAGGAGCCTTCTTTCTTCGGTTGCTTTCGCTCAGCATGTGGTAGGCCTGGAAGGGTGTGACAAGGTTTACACTTCGGGTCGTGTCCGCGGCCTTGCGTCGAAGCTTTACATGCAGAAGAGGAAGCTCAAGCAACGGAATCCTCTGAGGGTCTCCGATGTCATTCTTCTTGAAAGGATTTGTTGCAAGCTTGAAGACAGGTCTTTGCAGGACCGTATCGCTGCAGGCTTCTTTCTTTTCTTGATTTATGCAAGAGCTCGATACAGTGACGGGCAAAATGTGGCATCGCTGACTGATTCGCCGCTCTACTTGGAGTGCAGTGTGGGCAGGTCCAAGACTAGTTTCACTTTAGAACGCAAGACCAGGTACTTGCCAATGGCTGCCAGGAAAGTGGGCATCAAGTGTGCATGGGCCGATGCGTGGCTTGAGGCTTTGGCAGAGGCGGGTCTTGCGATCAAGCCGAACGACCCGTTGCTTCCCTGCCCTTCTTCGAATGGTTCGTGGAAGATGATCCCGCTTCCGTGCGATCAGGCTTGCTCGTGGCTCAGGAGCCTGCTGGGGAACGCTCAGAGCGATCCCTACCTTGCAAATGTGGGGACACATAGCCTTAAGAGGACTCTGCTGAGCTGGGCAAGCAAGCGTGGTCTGCCCCGAGAACAGAGGGCCCTCCTGGGGTATCATACGTCCCGAGCCTCGGGTGCGGGGTCAGAGCTGATCTATGAGTCCGACGCCCAGTCGGCTCCGCTCAGGGCTTTGTCATCTATGATCGACGAGGTGTCATCGGGGGCCTTCAAGCCCGACAAACCAAGGGGGCAGCAGCTTGCTTCCGAGCTGTCGGCGCATGCCGATCCCCCTGGCGACGAGATCGAGTCGTCAGACTCGGAGGGCTCCGAGGACGAGGAGGAGATCGACCACTCGGGCGATGAAGCTTGTGTTGCCGAGGCTTTGGACTGGCATGGGAAGGTCGACCTTGACAAGATTGATCCCTCGTGTGTTTTCTTTCGGCATCGCCAATCCAGGGTAGTGCACATCACTGCCGACGAAGCCGGTGCCAACCTAGGCTGCGGTAGGACCATTTCGGGTCAGTACAGGAAGCTGGAGGCGCGACCCGCAGTTTTGCATCCAAGGTGCAAGCAGTGCTTCAGGAGATACCTGGTTGTGCAGCAGGGCACATGACTCTGCATCCGGCTCGTGCCTGCAATTTTGTGCAAAAGGGTGATGTCGTGCACGTGCGCTCCGCAAGCCGGTCAAGTGTTGACATTTGTGGTATCGTGCAAGAGCAGAGATCTGCTGGATGTCGTGTCCTGCAAGATGAGTGATTTGATGCAGAGCAAAGCCCTCCTGCAGCTGCTTTTAGCTCGTAGTGGTCCAAGCAACACACCATGGCGGCCTTCTCCGAGTCGGGGCCAGTGTTCAAATCACGATGTGCCCAGGTCGGTTTGGCATCTGCGGATGTCGAAAAACTCGAGAAGGTGGGTGTTGATTCACTCGCAAAGGTCGCTTTCATGACGAGCTACACGCCGGGCTCTGGCGATGACAAGGACCTCATTGCGGCGTTCGAGTCGGCCCTCGGGACGCCGCCCTCTGTAGGGCAGAAAAGCTCCTTCCGAAGGTTATTTCATGAAGCATATGCTGTTACCACTTCGGAAATGAAGATGCTTGTGGAGCGGACGGATGAATCCATCCCAAGAAAATTGAGCGTCCCGGAGAGATCTGAGAGGTTCGAGGTAGTGAGCAAACGCCTTGTGGGCCTTTCGATCAAGAACCGTCTTGAGCCTGCCGATAGCCTCGTCGACTCCTTCGTGTCCCAGTATGAACAGGACAAGCTGCAGTTTGTCCCGTGGGAGAAGCTTGTTTCCAAAGAACAAGAGGCCTCGACAGGGGCAAAGCGAGAGCCTTTCTTCTCGCTGGACAGTACGGGCAAGCTCAGGTCGGAGACAAAAGTTGAGGTCCGTGCCGATACGAGCACGGAGCTGCTCTTGCAGCTCGCGCTTCAAAGGCGCGGCATCGCTATGGAAATGGCGAACATCCTTGACTACCATCGTCACCACATGTGGGTTGAGCGCCTTCTTGCGGCGCGCCTCGACGCACCTCCGTCGACGCACATGCAGCCCACGCTTGATCAGTGTCAGCAGGCTGACAGGAAGCTTTGGCAGCTTCTCGGAGAAGCGACTCGCTCGGGCATCCAGCTCAAAGCTGGGGGGCGTCCATTGGACGCCATCTTCGAAGACACATGGCAGTCACCAGAGGTGCTTCATCTGCTTCAGCCGATGCCTCGGGCAGCAGGCGCTTCAGTCACGCAGCAGGTGGCACCGCCGCCGAGGCCGCACGGGCCGGGCCCGTATGATCGTCCGGGCAAAGGCCGAAAGGGCACAGGGAAGGGTGCCAAGGGCACCAAAGGATCCGGGAAGGTTCCCGCCGCTCTGGCGGGCTGCAGATCATGCACCAATGCTGGTGAAAACATATGTTTTGGGTATGGACTCAAAACATGCAGGGAAACCGTGACTCGTGGTCGATGCGTGCGTGGCCTGCACATTTGCGCATGGCCCAAGTGCGGCAAGTCGCACCCTGCATTGGATTGTCCGCTGCGTGCTGAGGCTCTAGGCCAAAAGCAGGAGTGACAGTCGGAAAGCGAGCCCTGCAGCTCGCAGCACTCGACTCAGAGTCGGGATTGCCCAGGCTTGGCTGGGCACAGTTTTGCATCGCCGCAGGCCTTCCCTGCGCCGACAGATTCTCCTTTAGTGCATCTTGATCCGTGTCAGCAGAGTGCTAGTGTGGATACAAGAAAATTTTCTTCACTTTTGCAATTGCTTCAGAATGCTGAGTGGCCCAAGTCTGTGTTGCAACGTAAGTCTGTTTCGTCCGTGAACTCCACGCAGTCGGGGTATTACAACTTTGGGCCCAGGGCCAGCAGTCCGCAACATTTGACACATGCCACCCTTGCCATGCAGGACTTCGTATTGCGCCTGAACTCAGTTTTCAAGGAGCTTCTGCCTCAAGCTTCCTGGAATGCAATCTGCGTGGGCAGGAATACTTTGTCAGATTTCCACAGGGACTCAGGGAACCAAACGGGTTCGCTGAACCACACTTTCACGCTTGGCACCTTCACTGGCGGCCAGCTTTGGCTCGAAGATGCGTCGGGCACTTCTCAAGCCACTGTCGCAGGCGATAATCACATCAGGGGTAAAATCGTAGACACGTTTTGTTGCCCCACTAGTTTCCCGTGCAACTTGTGGCATAAGACGATGCCCTTCACAGGTGAGAGGTGGGTCGTAACACTCTACACTCTTTCAGGTGGGCAACCCGCCACGTTGCTCCCATTGGGTTTTCCGTGTGCTCCTGCTGCCGCGGCGCAACAGCTCCCTCCGCCTCTTCAGCCTGTTTTGCCATTGGAGTGTGCACCTTCTGGGTCTAGCCCTACTGCCCCCGCTCCTTTGGGTTCTAGTCCCGCCTCACCCGCCGACCCTCCTTGTAAACGCTTGAAATCGCAAGCTCAAGCCGAGCCGACTCCCAGACATGAGAAACCGCTGTTTCTGGAAATCTGTAGTGGGTCTGCTATGCTGTCTTATGTTGCCAAAGAGGCCGGATACACAGCCGTGCCCATCGACTGGCATCACAACAAA